TGTGCTGGGCACCCAGAGCTGCACCACAACCTGGTATGTGACTCCCTCCACCCAGGGTGACGAGGAAATACCACAGATAAGCGGGACATCAGCTCAGAAAAGCCTGAAAGACAGGTCACTGCAGCCAAAGTGTGTGCTCTGGCAGCCCATTTGCATCAAGAGAGAGTTCTCTGGCATGTGCTGTGCTCTGTTTGTGTCCATCCCTATCTATTCAGTCTACTCAACACCAGCATGGCAACAGCTGGAAAGTCCCACCTGACTGTTCCATGATGTGAAACAAGCTTTAAACTGAGCAAGAGACCTGTCCCGTGGATGCTGTTTTCCATCCTCTTCCATACAGATCTCGCATAAGCAGATTTCAAAGGTATTGTGTGAAAACCAGAAGTGTTTTAAGACAAGGAATAGAATGTGGTAGAATCCCTGATGCACAGAGGAGACACATTATTTCAATTTCAGAGTAAAGAGTCACTTGCTACAGCTCGGGTTTGTTTGTACAAAGATGATCTCATGGTAGTTTTAGGAAATAATACCTTGACTGCGGGTTTCACAGGGCGTCCCATCAAAGGCATGAAGCTTTCATTTCAAAGCAGACACCGTCTAAAGCTACAGACCTGATGAGCCTGACTTGAGAAAAGACTGGGCTATGTTGCAGGATGTTTTTCCCACTTACAATGTAACATAAATCCCTTTCCCTTTATCCCGGGTCTAAAATCCACCTGCAAATGTTGGAGAACAAGGACCCCTCTCTTCCCTGGGGAGCAGCTGATCCCTGCCGGCACCCACAAACAACCCCACCGAGGTATTTATTCCCTGAGCGGCATTCCCACAGCCGGCGGGACGGCGCCGGGACAAAGCCAGCACCACACCTGAGGCCAGGGAGCTCCCGGGGCCGGTACCCAGCGAGCAGGATGCCGGAGCAGGGTGGGCCGGGGCACGGGGCCGTGTCCCCCGCGGCTCCCGGGAGCCTCCCGCTCTGCGGACCGGGAGGAAGCGATAAGCACCATCGACAGGACAGCCACGGGCGGAACGAGCAGGTGAGCAGCCTCAGCTCCCCACACCTCGCCAGCCCAGAGCAGCTCCGGAGCGGGGGCACAATCCCCGCTGCTCCCCAGCCCCGCTCCCATCCATCCGTCGGCGTGCACTGCAAGTAAAGTAACCTGAAAACAAGGCAAACCCAAGGAAAACAACCGCTGCAAGCACAGCAGAACCCTCTGCGAGTGGCCCGAGCTCCCACCGCTCTGCAGGGCCGGCACAAGCGCCGCTCCCCGGGGATGCTCAAGAGCCCCCGACTCCCCCGGGGAATCACGGCGCCAGCCCCAAGTCACTGCAGACCCACCCCGGCAGCAGCTGCGGCACCGGGGGCAGCTCCCGGGGCTCCCCTCAGCATCACCCTCCGCTTTCCCAGCGCCGCCTCTGCCCCCCGAACCCCCGCGGCCCCGCGCATCGCCGCGCTCCGTCCCGCCGGGACTCACCGGGGCCGGCGCGGCCGGCGGGCAGCGCCAGGAGCTGCAGCAGCAGCAGCAGCGGCAGCGGCAGCGGCGGCGGCAGGGGCGGCCCGGCTGCCCCGGCCATGGCCGCCCGCCGCTGCTGCCCCGGGCCCGCCGCCCGCCCGCCCCGCAGCGCCGCCGCCGCCGCCGCTTCCGCCGCCCGCCCCGCCCCGGCCCGGCCCGGCCCGGCCCGCCCCGGGCCCGCCCCCGCGGCACCGGCGGCGCCGGACCGAAGCGGGGCCGCAGTTCCCGCCTGGGTGCGCCGCCCGCTCCGGCCCCGCGAACCCCCGGGATGCGCCCGGCGGAGGTGCCGGTGCTGCTCCCGGGTGTGCTTCTCCGCGCCGTGAAGGCCGAGGAAGGTGGTAGATGGAGATGGGTTAAAGCTGAAATCACACACGTGCACATGCCTCGGTCATAACCGGACATAACTGTGTCGGTCATAACCGGCCAGCCCGCCGTGTCCCCGCTCAGACGGGAATCACTGGGGAGGCTCAGCCCTTCAGCTGATGGGTGATTTAATGCTCGTTCCTGCAAAGCCCGACTGCTTTCTTTGCTCGCACGTATCTACCATGTTCATAGGACTCACGGGAGATGTGGCTTTCATAGGCATGGGCAACTCATTCTCTGATTTTCCAGCTGATTTCAAAAGAGTCAAGGATTTTTTTAAATCTGCGTTTTCCTTGGGATACCTCTCATGTGTTCCCCAGCAGAAATAACGCAGCTTGGGGACAATCTCAGAGTCCTTGCTCAGGCAAAATCCCACCACTCCCTTACCAGTCAAGTCCTCCTTAGCTGAGGACTTCAGACCTGTTTTCAGTCAACCACAAACTCCCTGGAGCAGGAGTTTCTACTTCTGGAGCTCAAAATCTTTGCTGCTTGCTCTCACAAGATGTTAATCTTTGTAATAAATTCCTGGGGCATGGGAAGGAAGTCCCCTGGGGAAGTGCCTGTCTTTTTCTAGGAGTTCTGACATCACCAAAATCCCAGTCAGAGCAGGCTGTGCGCTGAGAACTGGCAATGTCCTCACCTGATTTGGGGAGAACTTCCCTGAAATCAGCCCAGAAGCTTGAGTACATAAAGCTCAAGGGATGGGAAAGGACTATTCTACTAATTTCCAGCTTAAATTTGTTCTCTGCTTGTTCATTTCCATTTGCCCCTGTGTGATACTATCCTTGGATTTTCAGAGCTCTTCTTCTAAAAGGAAAACAAATAAACCCTTCTGTCCCAATTCTACATTAATTTATCCTTCAACTCTAGTTTTAAAGATATCAGCTCATCTCCAATCAGCCCTTATGAATTAGTTTCTTGAAATGCTGTTTCTAGTTATTTTCCTCTTAAAAGAGAAAAAAAAAATCAAAGACTTGAGCATAAATTAAGCTTATCTAACACAATGCAGAGTCGGATCCAGAATGTGTTACAATACCTATTTTTTTTCACAGCTTGGGTCCCTTGGAGTTGCTTGTTCCCAAGAGAAGCATTCCAGTGTTCACTGTAACTGTGTGGGTGTAGGACATGCCACCTCCAGACTGACAGCTGCTCCAAACACATGGGGACATGCAAATGGTGTCGTTAGTGACTGCCTGGGCTGCTCCTTTTCCCTCAGGCTAAGCAGCCTTGCAGCCTCAGAAGGGGTGAGTTTGGGCCAGGGAGGGTCTCCTTTTGGCTGCAAAGCTGGAGGTGGGGCTGCAGCTGGAGCTGGAGAAGCTGAAGAAGCTCCAACTGCCCAGTCAGTGCTGCAGGTGGATCACAAAGACCTGCAGCCAGGCAGAAGATACAGCTGCAGAGGCATCTGTAGTGGCATCTGTGTGGCACCAAAGCCCAGAGGATTCAGAAAGCCACATGGGGGTTGTGTCTATGCTGAGGCCTCAGGGACCATGGCTGTGCTGAGACCAGGGCTTTTGTCTGAGTCAGTGACATTCTGAATGTGGTGTTGGTGTCCCTGTGATGGTCAGGGCTGGTCACTTCTGCTTCTTGCTTTCTTGTCCATGAGTTCTGAACACAACCCTTCATCAGGAAATTAGACAAAAGAGGAAGACCCTGTTCTGAAGAATCTATTTCCTACAGTGTTTCAAATAGGCCTGTGGAGAAGTTTGGATTATATACTGGAAGTATCCCTCTTAGAGGCAACAACCTGGAAAAATAAATAATGGTGGCCTGTGCAATTTGGATTTATGGAGCTTTAACAGTGCTGACCCATGAATTTTGATAAATACATTTCTACTATTAATAAAGGCACTGAGCTGCTCAACTATTGAGGGATATCTAAAAGCTTTCTGGATGAGCAGCTGCAATGCACATTTTGCTGTATTGCTTTCCATAAATCCATAGCTGGGATCCTCCTGGCCATGTGCAAAAGTCTCTGGAGAACACAGAGCTGGCACGGTCTGCTCCCCTATCTCTGTTTGATCCTTGTGCAAGGAGTAAAAAAAGTGTCACTGACTGGAAAACTCTGCTTTTACTATTTTCAGCTAGATCTTCATTGAATTGTGTCCACCCAGCAGCTTGACTTGAAGTCACTGTGACAGGGGAAGGCAGAATATAACAAAGAACTGTACCCCAGGATTAGGGACCAAAACTCTGCTGTTAGAGTTGCACAGTTTTAGCTTCTGACAGAAAAGTCAGATGATGCTCCATCGCTGCAGGAGACTGCTGAAAGGATATTTGATGTACTCTGTGGAACTTTGCTAAGTGCAGCTCTCAGTGTTGCTCACAAAAGGAAAAACAGAAGGTCAATCCTTTCAGTGTAGTTAAAGAGAGTGACCTGGATAGGGAAATATGATCTAAAACAGGGGAGGCTGAACTTAAGCTGGCTATTACAGCTCAGGAAAAAGATGCTGGAGTCCTCACTGATGGCTTGCCAAAATTGTAGCCTTGATGTGCAGAGGAAAAAAAAATAAATGGTGGTGTCATCAGGAAGGGCTTGGGCTTGCAAAATAACAAAGAGAGCATCTCCTGCCTGTTGTGTAACAGCTTGGTGCACCTACATCTGTGCAGGTCTGTCCTCTGATTGCAGAATCTTATAATCATGGAATAATTTGGGTTGGAAGGGACTTTTAAAGGTTGTCTAGTTCGTCACCCCTGCCATGGACAGGGATGGCTTCTATTAGGTCAGTTTACTCAAAGCCCCATCCAGCCCTGGTCTTGAAAGTTTCCAGGGATGGGGCATCCCAACCTCTCTGAGTAACCTGTGCCAGTGTTTTACCACCTCCATTGTGAAAAACTTCTTCCTTACATCTAATCTAAATCAAATCTCTTAGTTTGAAACCATCACCCCTTGTCTTGTTGCAACAGGACACCTTAGGATGTAAAAACACTGTGGATTTACAGCCCTGAGCAGGGCAACTGAGATCAAGGGCATCTCAGGTGTAGCTGCAATACAAGGGGGTTCTGGGGAGGTTGGGATTTTTCTCTGGAGAAGGGGGAGCAAAACATGCCAGCCCTACAAAATCACAAAGAGAACGTGGACCTGGTGCATGATGAGAGTTAGAGCCATTGATCAGTCTGGTAGATTGATTTAAAATGAATAAAAAGGACTTTATTTGGAGCAGGTGGGAGAATGAACTTCTGGAACTCACTGCCACAGCAGGTTGTGAAAACAAATAGGATCAGCAGGTTTATAAAAGGTAGAGCAAATTCATGAGCAGCAGCAGGTCAACAGGCGCATGCTGAAGGTAACAAGCAGGAATGTAGCCTCTGGAATTGCTATTACTGCTTGTGTGGGAGCTGGAGGAACACAACCAAAGCTGGGCCCTCCCCAGATGGCATCTCCTCCTGCTGAAAATACAGAAAAACAACATGGGGAGAGGGGAAGCACTGATGTCACCAGCAGACTCCAAGCAAAATCAGATCTCCCAGGTGGTTGCTGTGTGGTAGGAAGACAGGGCATGCAGCAGGAAGAAAGATTTTGCATTTCTATTCAATTTCCATCTTTGTAGTGAAAATCTAATCAATGCTCATTTTCTGTCTTCTACCACTTTTCCTTTTTCCACTGGCAAAACAGCCAGTGGAGGAGGTGGGAGGATTCCAAAAAGTTTGAATTAAAGTATATTTCAATCATTCCTTATTTTCAGACTGCTTGCCTGAGGACAAAAATCTCCTTTACTCAAAAACTGATGTAAGCCACCTCCAAACATCCAATATCTCTGGGAAAAGAGGGAGGGGGATGGGGTCACAGAAACAAGACCATTGTGTTTCTTAGCATTAGCAGGGTAAAAGGAAGAAACCAAGGAGCCAGTTGGGTTCAAGTAAAAAAAAAAAAACCAATAAAAAAACCCTAAACAAACAGTGGGACTTTCAATCAAAGAAAGAGATGAGTAATAATCATAGCCATTGCCAAGAATGAATCCTTTCAGATGACTGTTTTCATTCCGTGACAGATTCCAGTTCTTTGTTTACCATTATTATTTACTGTTCTGTCATCAATAACTTGTTTTGTAGTAGAGAATGTCCTTATTGAGTTCTCAGATGTTCCTGAGCTGGAGGGGCTGCAAGTACTGGCTTAAAATTCAAAAGGATTCAGGCAAATCAGGGACATAATTTCAGCAGGAAAAATCTGACATTTAGGAAAGAGTGGCTGTCCAAACACACAGTAAAAAAGCAGAGACCTATTGGCTGCACCACTCATGGGTTACACTATTGAATTCCAATATGGGATGTATAAACAAGAACAGTTTGTAAAGCACACAATGTTTTCCTTCCTAATTCCAGCAAGAGGATCTCTCAACTGGTCTCCTAAAATCAACTTCCAATGAGGAATTAATTCTCTATCTTCCCACTGCTTGTTTCCTAGATCCCCTTGCTACTGGGAAGACAGAAAATTCATGGAGAATTCCTGTTATACTCCCGTAGGATGCTTGACCTCCTCCAGAAGTACGTGTTTCTGAGTCCCTTTCCAGGACACACTCTCTAGGGACATGACTATCTAGCCAGCATAATAAGATTAGAATCCAACCTATGTGGACAATGCTGTTTGCAGCCCCTCAAGAGACTGGTGGAAGTCCTCTGATTGAGTAAGTCATTACCATCAAGCTCATTTCCTGATGTCATCTAAGTCCTGTTTCAATAAAAATTAGCTCTGAGATGCCACTTGCCTTGGTGACACCACAGAATAGAACACTGTGCTGTTCTGGGGGTATCTTTGAACCCCGGGTTCTTTGTCCATCAAGAATAAATGAGAGCTGAGAAAGGCCTGCGGAGAGTGGAGACATCAAAACAGGCATGACCTGGAGATACTCATCCTCTGTCTTCTGCTGAAGCTGCCTGGTGTGATTTGGCTTCCTGAGTGCTGCCATGGCCTGGATCAGGGGCTTTGTATCCAAATTCACCTCCTTGGTGCCACCTGGGGCTGTTTCAGGCTGCTGCTGCTGCTGTGGCAATGCAGAAGTTGCGTCCAACTCTCTCCTCAGCACTGGAGCTGCAGCAATGCCGGCTGCAAAGCCAGCCTGGGACAGCACTGGGGCAAATATTTGACCTGCTCTGCTGCAGAGCCTGGCTGTTGTGGTGCTGGTGGCAGGGATGCCAGCTCAGGGAGTGCCAAGCTGTGGCCAGTGTGACACGGCCATGGGGCTGGCAGTGTCCTGGGGAACACACAGCCACGGCCCCCAAGGGATGCCCAGTGAAGGGACCCCTGAGCTCTGAGCCAGAGGCACGGGGGGCTCAGGGCTGGAACTCTCAGCAGGTCACACAGGAGGATGAGGAGGGGTCTGTTCCCCGCTCCGAGGTGGCACCAGCGTCCCCAAAGCACTCGGGATCTAGGGCTGGCTGCAAGCCCTGGCACAGCAGCCCTGCTTCTGCCTTGCCCCGATAAAGCACCACGGCTTGAGGTCCCCATCTGGTGGCAGCAGGGACAAACGGCTTGGACAACACGAGCTCAGCGCTCTCCGGCCGGGCAGAGCCCTGGCAAAGTGCTGCAGAGGCAGGACACTCCTGCTGGCACCGACCTGGGGTCACAGCAGGGCTCGGGAGCAGTCAAAGCTACAGCAAGCTGGGAACAACTCCCATCCTCACCTACACATTGTCCCCACGCTGCTCTTACACCTTCTCTCCTGTGCCCACCACACTTACTGGCTGGGTTTGGAGGAGTCCACGTCGTTGTTGGATTTGATGCTGGTTCTTCCCAATGCTTTCCACACCAGTTCACACCTCCTTGCACACCTGTATGTCCTGAATCCCCACCATATCCTGGTTCTCTATGAGATCCCCAGGAAGTTGTGCCTATAGCTCTGCCTGGGTGATGTTCCTGGCTGGAAGGGTGGAACCTGCTACAATGCCTGCTCCATACAAAGGTAGATGAGATTGGCCAGTGGTGCCCTGACTGGCTTTCTCCTCCCTTCCTCACTGTGCCTCAGAACAGCGTGTGCGTGGGCTCATGACACCTGCAGTGCTTTGCAGAAGAGACCCTGAAGGGCCTCCTTCTCCCTTTGGAGTTACTGGAATTTCTCCTGTCTCTGTGCATTCACTGACAGTGCCTGGGGGCCATGGCACCAGGGAAGAGTCCATCCTTGCCAGTGCCAAGGATCAAAGGAGCCTGTGGCAACCTTGGCTGGCTTTGTGAGCCACCCTGGGCCTTCCTTGAACCTTTCCCTCCTCACTAAGGACCTCCCAGCCCTTACTCAGCACCTGGCAGGTCGTTGCCTCCTGGGATTATCTGTTGCCCAGTCTCCCACCACACCCACGGCTGGAGGAAAGCCCACACATTCCTTTATCATCCCCACCACGGCCACCCTGCTGCGGGCTGCGATAAGGGCTGGGGGGTGCAGACACCAGCACAACTCCTGGGCTCCTTTTTGTGCCCTGACACCGCCCCACACTGCTGGATCTGGAGCTGAGACCCATCTGCTCCCCTTGCAGCTCCCCAGGACCCCTCCACAGTGACGAAGTCTTACACCACTGCACAGCCCTGTGTGCTTGGTGTCCAAGGAAAGATGTCCTGGCACAGGGAGGTCCTCAGGCTATTCCCACTCTGCTAGCAGGCAGAGGGTCACAGGTGCCAGGGGCCCCTGTACTCCTGCAAACCTTCTCAGGAGGTGGAATTCTGGGGGGACAGCCTGGGGCTGCAGGGAGCCCCAGATCTTCCATGAGTCTCTCCCCTCCACTGGTGCCTAGAAATGCTCTGTTTGCTCCCAGAGCCCCACGGCAGCAGAGCAGTGTCTGCCTGCCGGCCACCACCCCCCAGATGCTGCCTCCTCTCAGAGACAGCAAAACCAGAGCCCATTTCCTCCATGTACCCACCTGGTGGGGAGACCTCCATTTCAGATCCCCAGAGCACATCCCTCCCGCTCCCTTCCCGCAGGCAGCACACAGAGCAGGACACCAGAGCTGGAGCACAAATGCAAGAGATTTTATTTCAGAACATTTGACTGCTCGCTGTCGGAGGGCTGGTGGTGTGTTGGCTCCAGCTCTGGGCACAGTACACGTCTTAACGGTACTTGGCGGTCAGCACGGTGCCCACGGCGCACAGGAACTTGTCCAGGGAAGCGTGGACCTCTGGGGTCAGGAGAGAGGGGTTGCGTGTGGCCACTACCACCAGGAAGCACTGGCCCAGCAGCTGAAAGGCAAAACGGTGTGGTGAGCAAGGCAACGGGGCAAGGGAATAGCCAAGGGGTGCAGGAGGGAAGCTGGGCTGGTCACCCCTGCCCACACACTCACTTTGAAGTTGACAGGGTCCACACGGAGCTTTTGGGCGTGGAGGTCGCTGAGCTTGGAGAGGGCACCAGCAAGGTCATCGACGTTGTTGGCGGCTTCGACCAGTGCAGCCGCCACCTTCTTGCCGTGGCCCTTGACCTGAGCGGAGCCCTTTCCTAGGTCGAAGTGGGGGAAGTAGGTCTTGGTCTGGGGGTAGGTGGCGAACATCCTGGAGAACAGAGGGGTTGGGAGACAGGTGAGACAGGGACAGGGTGGCAAAGCACAGACAAGAGCGGGCAGATGCGAGGGAGTCGGGGCTGGAGAGGAGAAAGGGTCACACCGGGAACATCTGCAATACCTCTCCAAGGCGTCGGCGCCATATTCGTCGGCTTGGCCGCCGATTTTGCCGAAAACGGCCTTGACGTTGGACTTGTCGCCGGCGGACAGCACCATGATGTCACCCCCGAGTCGGCAGCCCCAGCACGGGTGTCCCCGCTGGTCACCGCCGCCCTTATATGCGGTGCTGGGGCTCCGCCCGCCCCGCCCGGCCCCGGCCCCGGCCCTGGCCCCGGTCCGGGGGTGCTGGACCCCGGCCCGGGGGTGCTGGACCCCGGCCAGGCGGGGCCGCCGCCCGTCCTCCCCTCCTCGCCCCGCCCGGCACCGCACCGGCCCCGGCACCGTTCCCGTTCAGGGCTTGTTCCAGGGCGGGTGGGTGCTCTCTGCCCCGCGGACACGGGCTGACATGGCTGCAGGGTTTGCTTAAGGCTAGGCTTGTGGTTAGGATGCGGTTTAGGTTTGTCTGTAGTGCCTGGGCTGGCACGGACTGGCAGAGGAACCCGTGTGTGTCCCCTGGCATGGGGTGGGACACCGGCTGGATGTTCCCGTTCTAGCCAGGTGTTGGGACTGCAGCGTGGGGCAGTCTGTGCCCCACACCCCCCCACAGACTGACCATCCAACAGGCTGCACACACACCCCGAGCTGCCCCAGGACACAACTGCCCCTACACGCACTGCCAGCTGATGCCTACATGTCCTTGCACATGTATGTGCCGTCCCTGTACAGCTCTCTGCCATCCAACACAGTCCTTGTGCACAGCTGCCCCGCTGCATTCCCTGCTCTTGTTCCTCAGGATACCCCACACCGGTGTACCCCACACCAGTGTACCCCACAGTGCGTGTCCTCTTCAGCCCCTGCTCCTTGAACCGCAGTCACGTCTGTTTGCCAGCAGAGCCCGGAGCTGCCCTGCCCCAGCCGCCTCCCCTGCCCTGTGCATGCTGGCCCTGGAGCTCTGGGGCACTGGGGGACCCTGACTTCTGGGCAGGGAGGACACGGGGCAGAGCCACGGGATCAGCACTGGGCACTGCTGCAAGCACTTTGGGAAGATATGAGGGACCACAGTGGTCTGTGGTGAGCCCTGCGTGCTCCAAATGATGAGATGAAGGTGAGGAATCTAACAAGGGCAAGGAAGATGAGGGTGGTGAGGAAGACAAGGAGGGTGAAGGGACTTGCAGAGCTCACAGTAGGTTCGGCAGGTGGCACAGACAGCAGGAACAGTTCACACCCGTGTTTCCTCCATGGCTGAAGTTCTTATCATTTGTGTTTGGGGGAGATTAGCTCGGTTTGGCAGCACTTCAGAGTCAGGAGGGAGGGATGGGGGGGCTGATTTTCTGGGAAGCAGCAGCAGCAGGGCAGGGTCTGCTGCATGTGTGTGCATGGGGAGAGCTGCCAAGGCAGCAGAACCCTTCAAACAAAATCAAATGGGTGTAAATGCACGTGAGCACACTGGGATGTGGACTGGGATGTGTTGGAGGATGGAGGACAAGCGCTGTGGGTTCACCTGCAGGAGCAGCAGGCTGGTTGGTGAGCAGGCAGGGGCCCTGCATGCCCCCACCTGCCTCCTGCCCGCACATGGACACTCAGGCACCTCTCTCCTGCAGGATCTCCTCTCCTCCCTCTGGTGTCACAGCACAGAGCAAACCCAGGGCTAGTTTAGTATCTCATAGCCTGCCACTTGTGATCACTGATTCTTTTAAAATTCAGGCTCCAAAGTCCTGAAACCAGTGTCCCTATACTGGACTGCAGATTTGCCCATCCCATCCCCACCCTGCCTGGATCCCAAGGGAAGAGCAGACACCTGGGGCAGGTGTGGAGGTTCTTCCCTGGCAATTGACTGGGATTTGTGGTTCAGGAGCTTGAGTCCCCGAACAGTTTTTGTGCTTAATGGTCTGCAGTGGACTTTTCACTCCATGAATTCTCAGATTGCTTCTGGAGCTCATGCAAGCATTGAGCACCTGCAGCACTCCTAATAATGTCTTAAAAAGCCATCTTAATAGATGGAGACAGGCAGGATTTATCCTACACCCCCATCACCCCCCAGAAATACTTCAGGGGAATGCAAGGATCACATTTGTCTTGGCGCAGCCTTCGCCCTGCTCCCTGGAGGGATGCAAGCACAGCTTCATTCCCTGGGCCCTGCCATCAGCTGCATCCTGTTCTGGGGAGGGTTGGAAGCAAGCAGGACCCTGAGGGACACCCAGGGAGCCCAGGGCTGGTGCTGCCCTTCCTGTACTGCATTCTCACACCACAGCCCCCTCCCTCCAGCAGGAACACTGCCACAGTCCAGCCCACCCCAGCCCCCAGCCTTGGCGCAAACAGACACGTTGCTGCAGCAAAAGACTCTTTTTTTATTGATGGTACATCGGCACGGCTGACAGCTCATCTGTACTTCTCAGCCAGCACGCTGGCCACGGCCGACATGAACTTGTCGACAGCAGAGTGCACCTCGGGGCTGTACTCCTTACCCAGGCGGGTAGCCAGAGTCACCTGCAAGCACTGCGACAGGAACTGCAAGGGAAAACAGGGCTTAGCACTGCCACTCCAGCCCTCATTCCCCATCCCGTCCCTGTCCCACACCCCCTGTGCCCCATCCCCTGCTGTCCACCCTGATCCCCTTCCCCCATCCCCTGTCCTCCATCCCCTGGCTCCCATCCAGATCTCTGTCCCCCATTCCCTGCCCCTCAGTCTCCATTCCCCATTTCCTGCTCCCTGTCCCTCCATTCCGATCCCTATCCTCAAACTCCGTCCCCATTTCCCATCCCCATCCCCTGCCTGCCTTGAAGTTGACGGGGTCCACACGCAGGTTGTAGGCGTGCAGGTTGCTGAGCTCAGACAGAGCCTGGCTGAGGTTGTCCAAGTTCTTGACGGCATTGCTCAGGGCAGCCATCACTTTCTTGCCATGGCCACGGACCTGGTCAGAGCCTTGTGACATGTCGAAGTGAGGGAAGTAGGTCTTGGTTGGGGGGTAGGAGTGGAACATCCTGGAGGAGTGGGACAGTCAAGAGGTGTTGACCCCAGCGGGACCCACCACAGTGGCCCCTCCATGGGGCTCCCACCCCCTTCGTCCCCCTCTCCCATGGGGTCCCCAGGCCTGTACCTCCACAGGGCATCGGCTCCGACTTCCTCCTCGGCGCCACCCAACTTTCCCCAGGTCTGCTGGAGCAGCTTCTTGTCCTCGCCGGTCAGCATGGTGGCGGCTGGAAGAGTGGGCAGGGGTTGGTGGCAGCAGCACCGCAGGGACAGCTCTTAAAGCTGCTGGCACCTCCTCCCAGCCTTATCTTATCACACTGAGGGACCAGGGGGTGGCCGGGCCCTGGGAGCGGCTGCGGCACTGCCTTGGGGGCCCCGAATGCCTTGGGGGGCCCTGCCCTAAGGAGGCCCCTGTGGGGCCCAGCTGCCTCTCCTGCCCCACTGCACCAGCCCAACACCAGAATGGGGCAGGGGGCAGCAACTTACCAGGCTGTCCCACGGACAGCAGCAGCCCCAGGCATGTCCCACGAGTGCCACAGCCTTGTCCAGCCTGGCTGGCATGTCCTCAAACCTGCTGTTGTGATCCATCATTCTCCACAGATGGGCCAGGATCCCCCTTGGCTCTGAGGGTGTTGAGGTAGGTCTCACAAGTGTCCCATGTCCCCTCCAGATTTTGGCACATCCAGCCCCTCTCTGCCCCAAGAGGCCCCATGGCCCCTGAGTAGGAGCCATGGACAAGCCCCCCCAGAGAAATCCAGGCAGGGATTGCCTTGGAAGCATCACAGGATGGACTTTGGGAAGACTGTGAACCCAAAGAGGAGGTTGTTCCCTGCCTGGACAGTCTTCCCAAAGTCCATCCTGTGATGCTTGTCAGTCCTGGACTCCTTCCCTTCTTCCCACCCCAATGTGTGTTCCTGCCTCTCCCTATAAATGCTGGGAAATCCCACAGGGCACATGATGGCTGGTCATACAAGAACAGAATTTTAGAATAATCAAATTATTAATGTTGGAAAGGGTGTCTAGGATCATCGGGCCCAACCATTCCCCCAGCACTGCCAAGGCCAACACTAAGCCAGGTCCCCAGGAGCCACATCTAGACATCTGCTAAATCCCTCCAGGGACAGGGACCCCACCACTGCCCTGGACAGTCTGTGCCAGTGCCTGACAAGGCTTTCAGTGAGGAATTTTTTCCTAATATCCAACCTAAGCCTCTCCTGGCACAACTTGAGGCCATTTCCTCTGACTCTCAGATCCTTCTCTCAGCCTCTGCAGGAAGGAGTTGGTAAAAGCATGGGGTAAGGGACACGCCAGTTGCTGACCTAGCACATAAGTCATGGATTTAAACCTCCAGGTTACCTGACATCCATGGATGAAGAATGCTTTAAAAGCTGCTCTGGTGACATGTTTAGAGTCATTTGGTGGCCTGAGAGCTTCCACATCACCTGTCTCCCCCTTGTCCAAACACAGTCCCTAAATTCCAGGGATGAGACAAGGACTGCCACTTGCAGTGCTGGCTCAGGCTGGCCATCAGAGCAGGCTGAAGGCTTTGCACCCACTGTTTCATGCCAGAAGTCTGAGACAGGAGCTGACATGGTCCTGTGCTTCAGGTTTTTGGCCAAACCGCCCCAGTAAAAGGCTGATGTTCCAGATTTAGTTGAGCAGCATTTGCACAGCATCAAGACTGTCTCTGCTTCTCACTCTGCCCCCACCCAGGGAATAGATTTTGAGGTGCTGGGAGAGGACACAGCCAGGCAGATAGGCCCAACTAATCAAAAAAGTATTTCATACCATATAACACCATGCTCAGCAATCAAAGGGAAAAGAAGGGGTCTGAGGGAGTTTTAGGGGGATTATTTATGGTTTTTGCTCATGAACTGGCTGAACATCAGCCTGCCTATGGGATGTGGTGAGGGATTGCCTTTGCATCCCATGTTTTGTTTTCTTCCCTGCGCCTCCACATAATCTTCACTTACTAAACAATTATTTCTGTTTGTTTGTTTGATCTTGACCCCCAATTTTTCTTGCTTTTATTTTCCTTTGCCCTTCACTTCAACCCATTGCAGGGGGGAGGTGAGTGGGAGCTGGGGCACAGTGGCTGCACAGCGGATTTAACTCACAGAAGAAACACATCAGATACCCCATCCATACCCCATGGAGAGAGGCACGAGAGGACAATGCCCTGCACTGCAGTGCAGGTTTGGTTCCCAACAGGCTGGGATGGGTTTTGGATAGGTCAAGCAAAAAGCCTGTGTCCATTTAATGTCCTAGCAGGGTGAAAGATTCTTTCCTGGTCAGCCTGGAGACAGACTGTGGTGGATATACCTTGGTGAGCAGCTGCAGTCACAGGGCTCCAGCCCATTTTGGGCTTCTGCTCAATGCTATGTTGCTCCCACTGAATGTTATGTTATCCCCACTGAATTGGCACATGAATTATGTGTTGAGTTCAATAGTATATGAATTACTACATGAGTTTATAAAGTTTATAAACTTTAACTTTTTATAAACCCCCTCCATATTGTGTAGACATTTCAGAACACCCCTGCCCGAACAATCAGGTGTGGGCAGAACACATAGAGAGGAAAGCACAGAGACCATAGCTCACATTTGAATTATTTATTGGGTTTTGCAGATGACCGAGGCCCTGCAGCAGGGATTTAAAGAGCTGCCCAGGAAGGGGTGATATCCCAGAGCCTGGCAGCAGGGCTGGGCTGTGGATGGACCTCCCTCACCCTCTGAGGTCATTTATCTGTACTTCTCCGTCAGAACAGAGGAAACACTGGACAGGAACTTGTCCCACGCCGCATGAACTTCTGGGGTGAAGTCAAGGGGATAGTGGGCAGCCACGGAGCACAGGATACAGTGGGAAAGCAGCTGTAAGGGAAAGCAGCATGAAATCCATCACAATGAGTACCAGGTATCAGTGTAGGGGTCTGCAGTGAACCTTGGGCCCAGTGTGCTCAGGGATGACAAGTACATGTCCCAACCAGGCAGTGCTGCTGCCTGAGATGGGAATGAAGAAGTACAGTTGTCTTTTGTTTAGGGCAAAAGGCACTGCTTGATCCCACTCCCTCTTCTATGTGCCCCTTCCTCAAGTGTAACAAAGTGTGACTGTTTATAATTTATTAAAACTTTGTTCCAGACAGGTGATGTAGCTTGATGTGTGAGGCAGATTCATTGTGAATTACAGCAAAACCAGCAGAGATTTGAGTCTGTCTAACACAAACCACAGGAGTTCTTTGCCTGCACTGGGCCAGAACTTCCATTAAAAGACCCTATCTCAGGCTGAAAATCATATGAGAAACCAGCTGTGCAGCACAGTTAGGGATCAAGCTGCCATTAGAGACCTATGATCTCTAATTTTGTGATGGCAGTTTCCACCCCTGAAAGTCTCTGTGCTCACTCACCTTGAAGTTCACGGGGTCCACCCTGAGGATGTAAGCATGCAGCTCACTGAGCTTGGCCAAAGCCCTTCGGATGTCATCAATGTCCTTCACAGCTTCCCCGATGGCACTCATGACCTTGGAGCCGTGGCCACGGAGCTGAGCTGAGCCTTGGCTCAGATCGAAGTGAGGGAAGTAGGTTTTTGTCTGGGGGTAGCTCAAGAAAAGCCTGGAGGAGAATGTGAGGAAGAGGGTCAGCAGTAGAAATGATATGAGGTGGTAAAACCTCAGAACAAGTGCAGTGTAAACCTTCTGCAGCACATGCAGATTAGACAGCAGGTTTATCTGTATGTACTAGAGAAGAATCAAGTGTTAAAAATTATTTAAAACTTAGTGTAGCCTTGGGTTTGGTTTTGTTTGGTTTGGTTTTTAATAAATAAAAGCCCCGTCTTGTCACCAAATTTCCTGTATTATATTATAACCAAGTTTCCTGGATCTTCAAACAAAAATTAACAAACCACAATTGATATGAACGGTACTCAGAATCCTGAAAGGAGGATCACAATACTATATATAGAGCTGTAAATAGGATTTAAGTCACTTTGAATAACATAAGAATTTCTGATAATTTCCAGATCCTTTTATACTGGCTTGTTTAATTGGTATGGACTTTGAATTACTGTGCCATTCTTCATGCAGGGGGTCCAGCTGTCTTGTTTCCTAACAGTTTGTTACTTAACAACTGGAACAATGAAACCTGAGCATCCAGTGAGTTTAGTGGACAGCTGTTCTCTTAATGCATAAAAACTGCAAGAGAAAGTGCATTACTTGTACCATAAACCACTTAAAGTTTATTCCCTAACAGGGATAATGGTGTTTAGGACACTGAGTATGAATGACTTTGAATTCCTCACCAGTGCTTCTGGCTATGAATTCTTCTGTATGGCTATAAGAAGAAAAAAAAAACCCTATTAAATTGTTTAAAAAAGCATGCTTTACTGCCAGATTGTGAAGCATTTAGTAGCACAGCTATAACTCCTGGAGATTACATATCAAGCAGCACAACTCTTCATCAAGTCTCCCTGGTCCCAGCCTGCTCTCACTCACCCAAGTTCTACATGGGATGCATCCCAAATAGCAAAGCCCTCTTTGGAGGCCTGCTGGGGCCTTACCTCTCCAGGGATTCTGCCCCGATGGCATCGGCTTGGGTGGCCACCTTGGCCCAGATGGTGACCACGGCGGCTTTCTCAGCTTGGGTCAGCGTCATTGTGCAGGAGGTGCTGGCTCTGTCCCCTTGCAGTGACAGCTCAGAGCAGGTTTGGACTCACCACCTGGCAGCCCTGGTTATAAAGGGGAAGGGGGGAGCAGAGCTTGGTGCCTGTCCACACTCATTGGTCACTCCAGAGGCCCGCTGTGGAGTGGGGGACACTTATCTCCTGAGAAACCATGGCTACACTGGCAAGGGTCAGCACACTGTCCTCCTTGCCTGCTGGCCTTATCAGCTTCTTGCTTCTTCACCTAACATCTGTGTGGTCCAGAGAAATTGTCTGGACACATATTGATACATGAACAGAGAGATAATGCTGCAAAAGTCCAGTGATGAAGCATTAGGACACATGTCTAAGCTGAGGAGCATGTGGGCTGCAGCATGCTAAGGAGCCTGGAGAGGAATCTGCATTTCCTCCCTTGGTTCACAGATGTGAACACAAGACTCTGAGCCTTTCTGACCCAGCCACTTCCAGTATATGTGGCTGCACCACGTGCAATATTTCACATAAAATAGTTTGTAGGTAGTGGTAGGGACAGGCTGGGAGATCTGTAGTGCAGTTCAGAGGAGAAATGAAATTCTGACTTTTTAAGAGTAAGTGCAGATTCTGCCATTTGCTTCAGGACTTCACTTTGCCAGACTCTTGCAAAGAATTAGGGACTCACAATTGCTGCCTGTGACAGTACTGGCAGTAAGGATTACTTTGGATACAGGAATACAGAGTTTGTGAAATTGAGTATGGTATTAGAAAAAAGTGTGTGCGAGAGAAAGCCCAGTCAGATTTCTTTCTTTAAAATCCTCAGACTGCACATCTTTGATTTCTAAGTGTGTGATCTTACTGTTAGTTGTTCCCTGCACTTAAAATAGCCCTCAGCACTCCTGTTAGTGTGCTGCACATGCACAAGAGTTCCTGGTCCTACAGCAGATGGCTGGTACCATCAGCGCATGGGTCCTGGGTGGGTGAAGGACTGAACAAGCAAAATGAAGACCAGCACAGGTCTGTAATCACAGGTAAATGTGTCAGAGAAATACCCTACTGGAGATGGCTGCTGCAGAACCTCTGGGAGTAAATATCCTGCCAGCAGATAAAGCAGAGGTAAATCTTTGCCACACTGATAAACTACAGCAGCCTCAGCCATCACCACTGAGAGCTGGCAGCTGTGCACAGAGCCCTGGCTGGCACAGTCAGAGGGGTCAGATAACATCCTCTGCCCAAGCAGCCCTGCACACTTGTGTGGAGAAGGTTGGGGTGTCTCAGCCAGAGATGTGTCTGCATTTCACAGCAGCACTACCCACTGCCACAGAGGGTGTTCCCCAGCCATGGTCATCCTGCTATAGGGAAAGCTCTTCTAGGGATCTCATTATCTTGGTGGTGCATGGATTGGGGCATGCACAGCCTATGGACACCTGTTCTTCAGTACAGGATGTGCCCTGGCCTTGCAGCCCCTCAGGAGCCACAGGAGGTGTGCTGTGCTGCTGGAAAGCTGCTGGGTTTGAGGTGGCACCCGTGCATGTGTGTATGGCAGGGATCTCTTCCGTGCTCTCACATGGGCATTGGTCTCTCCTCTCTGGGTAGACTCCACAGCCTGGAGGAGTTGATCCATAAACAAAGAGATGCCACTTTCCTGGGGCTGTGCCTCTGCCACTGCATCCTGGGCTTGGGTGGGAATGAACCAGTGGTAGGGTCAGAACCAGGGATGGGGTCAGACGGTAACTTCTGTATCCTCTGGTGTCCCCTCTTTGCTGAGGCAAGTGGCACTTGCAGAAGGACTCTGAGCCACCCCTTATACTCTGCACTGGGCTCTAATTTAAGCTTCTCTGCATGCCATCTGTCACACAAACTAGAATAAACCTTGGGCTTTCCCAAAAGGCAGGCACAAAGCACTTGGGCCTCTGAGTCTGCAAGCCTGGCTGGGTTTATGGATCTTGAATTATCATCCCCTCTGTGGAGGCCAACAACTCCTCTGGGATTTAATTTCAGATTGTGTTCAGTGCCACAGCTCCTCCTCAGTCCTCCTGACCAAGGGCTGGGTGGTTGGGTAATTCACTCACTTTAAGAGGGGATATGAAAGCAGACTCAGCTGAGACACAAGGAGGACAATTGTTTTACCACAGGGAATATTATCAGAGGGCTATTTGTATACCTTCCCTTTGATACTGCCATACATACCCCCTGAAAACCCAGAGCTCACTCTGGCTGCACTGATGCAGAGCAGTGCAGTCTCCATTTCAAAGTACCACTGACAACACAGGCAGAGCCAGGGCACGGACAACATGGTATTCAATTTACACAACTTAAATGGATGGCAGTACCAAGAAAGGCTGTATTCATCATCCCTTGCTACACACATTTCCAAAACTTGCAGTTTTCCCATAGAAAATTGACTTTGAAAATATAGATGCTGTTGTGAAATATCCATTTACATAATGTTTTTGTCTCCTCCCCAAAGTGCTGCCTCTTACACGTCCTGTTGCATGGCAGTGCTCCAAGCTCTCCTCAGTGAGAGTGCTTTTAATCAGGGGTTACTCAACCAAGCTGTGACCCAGATAAACACAGGGATAAGGCACAGACCATCAGGACTCCTTCCTCTCCTGTGTAACCTGGGCATTGCTCCTCTGTGACTGCAGGATTAAGGTTTGTGAGTGCACAGAGTGTGTGTCTGCACAGGAGGATTCATCATCACTGAAATAATTATGGAATTTGAATTGCTTTTCTGAGAGTTACTCCTGCACTATCTGAAAAGCCATAGCAGCCGAAAGGTGACAGTGGTTTGTTAGAAGGAGCTCATTGCTCACTCAGGATCAGAGCTGTGCTGGGGATTGTTGTGGGAACTCCTCAGGAGCAAACATGGTGGGAGAAGTCTGATCCTCAACACAACGTGACATGGAAAATGGCTCAGTTTTGCATGAACCTTTCAGCCAAATTCCTCATTACAGTGCTGCAGCTGCCCATGGGGTAGTGAGACAAGGGGGTCCTGGCCTCAGCAATGCAAAGAACTGGACAACCTGATTGCTGCTGCTTCTGTGCCACAGGACCAGTAGAGAAGACATCCTCTGGGAAGCCCCACCAACCCTGCCTTCCTCCCTTGCTGCTGCTTCTCATGATGATCCACAGCTCCACTGCAGAATGTTCACCCTTGGGCATGTCATGAATCTTTGTCAGAGAATCACCAAAGGGGATTTTTTTTTTAAATTGATGTAGGTCTTTTTAAATCTAAAATCTGTTCCAAAAGCCGGCTACCAGAGTTTCTAATTTTAAACAGCAAAAGCAAGCAACAGACCTGTTAGCTAATTGTAAAAGTGGGATTCCAATTTCCAACAGCCCTGATTGTAAATCCAATTGAATGGCATCACTGTGAGATCAAGGACAACTTTCCCCATGGGCCTGTATTATCCACAGGAATTGCCTTCCCCTCAAGGAGAATGCTGTGAATAAGGGAGGACATATATCTGCTCTAACTCTGAAATATTTGAGGCATATTGCATTTTGAAAGTCTGGAAAGTGGAGTCTAAATCTTGGCTTTACTCTTTAATTTCCTACCGGGGCTTGAAGAACTTGCAATCATTGCTTTAAATGACAAGGCTAACTACAACTAAATGTGCAGGAGCTGGGAAAGACAGATAGGCCTATAATTCATTATTTAAGAAAATAAAATTATATTTTGAAGCAAGCACACTGAAATTTTAACATGACAGCCCAGTGCTGGTGTACAAGGAGTGCTCTGCTGTGATAACACGACTGGTCTTTAATCACCCCAGGACAACTCTCTCCCCTCAGCATCGCCTTCTCTTGCTCAGTTGTTATCGCTGGCCTTGTGCAGAATGGCCCTGCAGATTACACCCTGCTGGGGCTGCTCATCTCCCTTTCAGCCACCACCTCTGTCCTGTCCCTGGGGGGGACTGCAGAGCAAAACCCAGAGTGGAGATATCTCAGTGTCCTAGCATCTAAGGAATGCAATGAAATATAGAAGAATTTGCATAAAACCCCAGGGCATCCTCAAATATAATTGCTGATAACTTCTGATCTCGATTAAACATAAAAATATGAAGGCACCAAGACTGCTGCCAGGAGAGTAATGCCACCCTTCCTAATCCAGAGGCAGGAGTAAAAGCACAGGAACCAAGAGGCAGGGTGCAGCAGAGCTGTGAAGTGAACATGAGCAACAAGCCCAAGTCAGCCTTTCCATGAGCATGGGGAGCTCACAGGTCTGACTTCCACAGCTGGCCCCCTGCAGACACCCTGGTGTCACAGAATTGTTAAGGTTGGAAAAGCCCTCTGCAGTCATTCATCTGCAATATGGACACACTGGATTTGGCAGCTCTGATGGAAACAATCTACTGCCAGATGGTGTAAGAATGGAGAGGGACTAGAAGGGAAGACAGAGGGATTCTCCACCAGTGAATCCACTCTCAGTGGCACCCAGGCTGGCACAGGGAGGGTGGAGATGCACATTAAGCTCCTGCATCCCGTCTTTTGCCCATGGCAAACCCAGGAGAGGTCATCAGTTCCTCTCCCACTAGGGAAAAAGCATCCACAGCCTCATTCCAACCCACAACAAATTACCTTTGTTCTCTCAATTAATTTAGCCTTCTGCTCAGGGTGTGTCACATGTGTATTTAACTCCAGAATGGCAGAAATGTTATTTCAAAAAACTGTTTGAAATGTCCCAAAGAGGCATTGCAGCAGGCTTTACCAAGTGTTCCTTTATCTCCATTCCCACTCTAATCACCAATGAGCTTCCTTGTTTAATAATGTTTTATGGAGCTCTTCTTTCCCTGTTGCTCTTAGAAAGTTGCTGATGTGGAAAAAAAAAGCAGGGAAAGTGTAATGAGAAGAGTCATGGCAGACTGAACTCAGAAAAATTCCTATTCCCAGACACACTCCAAGGTATTAGGTTAAATCAGCACTGTTAAGCCCACCACTAAACCATGTCCCAAAATGCCACATCTGCATGTTTTTTGAATACTGTCAGGGATTGTGATTCCACCACTGCCCTGGC